TTTAAGATAAAGAAAAGATTTGATGCATTCAGTCATTTTAAGTGACTTTTTGGTGTTCACCGAGTCATTAAATGAGAAGTGCATAAATGTCTCACCTGTTGTCATCTGGTAGGAGATGTTATGTTGTGTTAGGAGTGATCGTAGCCGCTCTATCTCTGCTCGCTGCTTTTCAAAATCCTGTGGGAAACAAAAAGTTGAATTCACAAGCAAATCTAAAGCTGAGCGCATTGCATGTGTCCTGCACAAAATATTTAGTCCTAAATTTAACATTTATGAATTTGATCAAATTTGGATATATTTTCAATTATAAAATGTTGCATTAAAAATGTCCATTTATTTGTATTACATGGTTAAAATAAACTAATAAACAAAATATGATGCATATTTGTCATTCATACATAAATGAAACATCTAATTTGTTCCAAACAACAACATTTTAACTGAATATTGCTTGTTCCACAGTTAGCCATATTTTAACCGTTCATACTTTTTAACTCTTTTTTTGACAAAGAACTGATTCTAAGCAATGTGAATTAATGCAATAAAAAAAATGATAATTAAATAAATGCAAATAGTTAATAATAAACTACTCCATGATTTTTTGATTGCTTGAGGTGAGTGCTACCTGTTTCATTTTTGCATGACTGACAAATATGCATCTCATTACGTTTATTAGTTTGTTTAAAACTGAAATCCAAATGGATGGACATGTTATATGCAATACATAAATCTTAAATTTAGGACTAAATATTTGTCTGTCAGACCTGTGTGCACTGCTCCAGACTCTGATGTGTGAGAAACGTCGTGCTCTCCTCTGCTTTCGGCTGTTGAGCTTTTCTCAGGAAACCAGCCTCTTCAAACAGCTCCTTCAGCAGCTTATTATAACCCTGAACACACACAAATGCCTATTATTACCGTATGATGTTCTCAGATGCATGAAGATTAGAACATTGTGTGTCACCTGTTCTGTGATGAGATCTTCATATCGAGCTTGAGCAATTTCATCCCACTCCTTCTGCAACGCCTCACTCAAAACCGGATACACTGAAAGACAAGCGAACAATCAGACATGGTTTATTGTAGATAGGTGTTCAACTAACTAGTGGGTTAGTTTTTTTTTTTTTTTTTTTAATCTTAGGGTTAGGGTTAGGTTTATGACATTAACTTACCCAAGAGGGAGTGTGAATGGCAAACTAGTGGCGTCTCAAATATCAGTGAATAAACACACGTCTGAGGCTCTGAAACACTCACTAGTTTACTGCTATTCCCACAAACCAGGAGAACCTTGAATAGAGACATCTCAACATCCATCACATTTTACTGGCAGAAAATATGCATACAGATACAGCTACATTCAAAACTTATCCATAAACTCACATTACAATGAACACAAAGACAGTGTGTTCGTGTAATACAGACCTTGGTCTGTCTGTTCTTGTTGCCGCATTTATCTCCTTCTCGCATCCACATGCCAGTAAACGTGTTATTCTGAATCTCCCATTCTTGCCAAATACTACACACGCACAGCAGAGATTTCACATATACGGTTTTAAGCTAAACTAAATAGAAGAAAGCATAATAACAACTTGTATAAAGAGCACTACCCTAGTATACCGCTGTATGCATTCCATCTGAAGCTCTGTTCATGCTGAGTCACATTATGAAATGGACAAAATACGTATTTGTATCTAAAAAAAAAAAAAAAAAAAAAATCAGTTTCTTTTAACTGCACACAATTACTTTTATGGAAGCTGGTTTCTGCCATGGTATAAAAGAAAAGAAAAATAAAAAAAAGGTAATTGTGACTTTTTATCCCACAATTCAGACTTTTGTTTTTTGGTTGTTCACATCTCGCAATTTTGAAAAGAAAAAAAAAATCTGAATTGTGAGATAAAAAGTTTTTTTTTTATCCAATGGCAGAAACAAGCTTCTATACAAATTCTTTCATGACAAAGAAAAAAACAAAAACAAAAAAACAAAGCCATATAATGCAATCAGCAACATTGTTGAACCTGTATAGCTCAAGACATGGGCTAGTTGTCACTTCACTTCAGTAAATATTGCGAACATTTCCACAATAATTGCAGGACAAAAAAAACAAACTAATGTTGCTCTTTAGTAGGGCATGTTGTCACAATAGAAACTTCCAGTAAAATTTAAGCAGTAAAACAAATATGAAATGCAAAATAATTCATGAAACCGTAACAAAAGTATCTAATTATTGTTTTGACCAAAAAATGTATTGTATAAATCTTTACATTTTAATTTTACATTTAAAACACATGTGACAACTTGAAAACAAACATTTTTGTCTTTAAATGTTGGACTCAAAACCTCATAGTTACTGAGATACAGCCTCTGTGACAACTAGCCCCAGTCTCTCCTATATGTAAGTGAACACAAGTATAGAATAAAGGTATGTATGTATTTTTCGATAGTTCTTAAAGTTGTGCAGATGTTACTGACATGGCTTCAATGTAGTTGTAACACTTCCCTGCCAGTCTGTGCAGATGTGGAGGTCCAGACACTGGAGACGGGCTGATCTTCGCCTGCAGTCGATTATTCTGAGACACAAGCTGATTATTCAGCCTGAGAAACCAAAGTGAGAAGAATATGAAGATTCAGAGTCTGTTGTATGAATACATCTTATATTTAATCTAAAATTGTACTGCTGGACACCTCACCCAAATGTATTAGGTTCCTCCACTATCTTCATCTTCCCTCCTGATGTGACAGTCACTGGAACAGCAAAAAACACCACAAAAGGGATACTGACATTATTATTAACTAAACCCCCTAAAAACAACTCAAACCCTGTCTGTAAAGCCTTAAAGGGGCTTTTTAGAACTAACACATTGAACAGTTTTAGTTCCGCATGCAACTGTGTTGATCTGATGATCTAATCATGCAATAAAACAAGTCTCCATCTATAACACTTACCCAGTGCTGTCAGATACAGGCACAGTTTTAAATATACACACTCCATAACTCTTCAAATAGTGGGGTTTGTGAGGAAAAACTACATTTAAAAAAATTTTTTTTTTATCTCTGTTCTGTCATGTGACAGAACTGAAAGCATTACCGATGGGAAGATGTTATGTTTTATGAACGTGTTGCTTGCGAAATGCATCAATTATAGAGAAAAGATCTTACATTTAACAGATATGCGACATAATCACAATTAATTGACCTAAACGTGTCCCTTTTGCGGTTTAATTTAAACACAAAGACGAAATATTCATTAAAACGTTCGTGAATATCGGAAAGGCGGCGATAGCCGTAAACCAAAAAATATTATGCTGCATTTCCGGGTGTAATTCTGTCTAAAATAAAAGTCTTCTTCCGTTTTTACTTTATCGATAATTATGTGTCTGCTTTGAATAACTGGTTCATAATTTTTTAGCTTAAAATTTAAATTTCTATTCTATAACCTAAACTGAAGCAAGATAATATTAGCTTTTATATAATTTAACTACATTAGCGTTTTCTGTGCTTGGTTCTAATAACAGCCATGTTTGATTACGTCACCGTGTTTTGGCCTCACGAAACAGCGTGTCAGAATAAATCCTTAGGATTTGACCTAAAAGAATATAAACATTAGAATTTATGCTATGGTTTAGTGTAAAGTAGATGCATTACTGGTGTGCTGTAAGATGTAAGGTGGTTAAATAGGGTATAATACAATCAATCCATTACACACGCGTGAAAGTTGTTCCTAAAAACAAAAGTAAGGTGGGTTTCAGACATGGGACGTAAAAAACAGGGTAAATGCGAGCGACCGGTTCACAAGGGCAAAGACAGACGACACAGGATGAAGGGGAAGTCATTAGAAACTTTCACAGAGGAGATGCATGAGGCTCTGCAAGGTTTGTCAAAGTTGTGGATGATCATATGGATGAATGTAGAGGAAATGCATGTAATGTTGTCATCTTTTTGACACATATGAGATTAGGTTCATGACATAAAGTGAATTACTTGTTTTGTAGTGAATTACTAGCTTGACAGACATGAGTTATGTATAATGAAGTTGTGCCTGTGTTTCAGCCAGTGAGGATGCGGATTCAGAGGCGGCAGGAGGTGTGAAGTTGCCCTGTCAGTTGGCCATGTGGGATCTGGGTCACTGTGACCCGAAACGGTGTACAGGACGCAAGCTGGTCAGGAAAGGTTTTGTGCGCTGCCTGCGACTCAGCCAGCGCTTCAATGGCCTGATACTCAGTCCGATGGGAGCCAAATACGTTACACCCGCAGACAGGTGTGGGCCACAGGAATCATTATTTGTTTTTTAAAGGGGTCATATGATGCGATTTCATTTTTTCCTTTAATCCATTCACACTTACAAACAAGCATCAATATGAATCCCAACATTTTAGAGGTCTGGACGTATAACAATTTTATAGTAATGTTCAATAGTGAATCTCATCCCAACCTTTATGTACACTACCGTTCAGAAGGCTTTTTTAACATTTACATGTATTCATTTAGCAGACACTTATCCAAAGCGACTTACAATTGGGGAATACATCAAGCGATTCATCTTAAAGAGGCAAATAGACACAGAAAGTGCTCTTAATACCAAGTTTCAAGCTTTGTTCAAATTAGTACAAGCTAGACAGGCAAAGATTAAAGAAAGAATCGTAATAGTGAGTGGAAGTAGGCGGGTGCTGAGCCTGTTCTGTACGCAAGCATCAATGTCTTGAGCTTGATGTGAGCTGCAACCGGCAGCCAGTGCAGGGAGATAAAGAGAGGCATTAAATCTTACTATTTTTAATCAGCAAGGACAGATTAAATTCACCAAAAGTGACAGAAAAGGTACAATTTCAAGTAAAAAAGAAAAACTTAATGTGATAATAAATGCTGTTTTTTTTAACATTCTATTCATCAAAGAATCTGTTTACAACATACAAATGATACTAATACAAAATACTTCTTGAGCATCAAATCGGCATATTAGAATGATTTCTGAAGGATCATGTGACACTGAAGACTGGAGTAATGATGCTGAAAATTCAGCTGCGCATCACAGGAAAAATTACATTTTAAAGTATATTCAGATAGAAGAGAGTTATTTTCATTTGTAATAATATTTCAAATTTTTACAGTATTTTTGATCAAATTAATACAGCCTGGTAAACAGAAGAAATGTTTATTTCACAAACATTAAGAAATCTTATCGACCCTAAACTTTCGGTAGTGTAGATAAAAAAAAAAAACACAAACATTTGTCTCAGTATTTAGTTTATAATATTGTTCATTTCTAGGGAGATTGTGGCACGGGGTGGTCTAGCCGTGATTGACTGTTCATGGGCGCGACTCGAAGACACGCCTTTCAGCAAAATGATTGGCTCACATCCGAGGCTTTTGCCATACTTGGTCGCAGCAAATCCTGTAAACTACGGAAAGCCGTGCAAGCTGTCCTGCGTCGAGGCTTATGCCGCCACCTTCTGCATTGTGGGTAAGCAGCTCCCAGCTATAGATTTCTCTATTGCTGCTATTGTGTCTTATGGGTTTTGTAGATCTGTATGCTGAACTTTCTATTGATCAAAGAATCGTTAAAAAATTTCACTTCTTTCACAAAAATATGAAGCAGCACGACTGTTTTCCACATTGATAATCATCAGAAATGTTTCTTGAGCAGCAAATCAGCATATCAGAATGATTTCTGAAGGATCATGTGACACTGAAGACTGGAGTAATGATGCTGAAAATTCAGCTTTGCGTCACAGAAATAAATTACATTTTAAAATATATTCACATAGAACACAGTTGTTTGAAATTATAATAATATTTCACAATATTACTGTTTTAACTGCATTTGTGATCAAATATTTATTAGCCTTGGTGACTATAAGAGACTTCTCTTAAAAACATTTTAGAAAATCTTACCGACCCCAGATTTTTGAACGGTCGTGCAGTTAAATGACAGCAATTGAGATTAAATTGTGCAAATTTGCTAGATGTTGACATGTGAATTTGTTTCTCTGTGATAATGCATCAGGATTTCGTGACCTTGCTGTGCTCCTGCTGAGGAAGTTTAAGTGGGGCTTGGGATTTTTGGAACTGAATAAGACTCTTCTAGAGCGTTACGCTTCCAGCCAATCAGAAGAGGAACTACTGGCTGTGGAGAAAGAGTTTCTCAGTGCCGCCCCTCAGGAAGAGGATTTAGGTACGGTTTGATGATTTAAAATAGTCAAATGTACTGTAAGTGTTTTGAAAATATTAACTTTGGTGTTTTGTGTGTGTGTGTGTGTGTGTGTGTGTGTTTATTTAAAATTTGTCCAGATCCTTTCGATGTGGACTCAGGAAGAGACTTTGTGAATCTCAACAGACCAGTCCAGTGAGACTCGTTTTTTTTTTTCTTATTCTGTTAAAAATTTATGTTTGAATATTAAAATACTTAATTTCCATTCAAATGAAAGTCAGCTGAAGTAACCCGTGTGTGTTTGTACACTCAGGGCTGAGGACGATGACAGTGACGAGACGTCAGAGGAGGAAGATGATGGTGAGGAGGAAGAACAGAAGAGTAAAGAGGAAGATGATGATGAAAGAGATGAGGACTCTTGAGTTGTGTAATCTTAAAATGTAACATTTGGGGAAGAAGGATGTTTAGTCACTGATTTAGTAACACTGACCTTCACTTGAGCAAACTTCTGTTTTCTGCGTGTTTGCAGATGGTTGCAGATATGGAACTTGTAAGTTAACTAAACCAGAGTAATCAGGTGCTGTAGTCATGATTTCAAAAAGCAACTTCCCCAAAGACGTTTTATAATGCGCAAAATGTACTATTTGTTCACGAGAAGAATCTTCTCAAACTGTAATAACATTTATTATTGCAAAAAAAGGTTGACTTGTTTATAAGCAGAATGAAATGTTTAAATAAATATTAAATGGCATTTGCTGCATTCGAGTATGGTTTACTAGCTGTTTTATTAATTGGAGTGCCATTTTCAATCCAGTCTGCGTATTTTATTTATTTACATGTATATCTATTGGGGCTGATTACCACATGCATACACTATTGTATATACTACTCTAAGGCAAGGATTTTCAATATTTTAGATGTCATGGACCCAAATATGATCATCCCTGTGTGAGGGACCCCATCCTAACATTTTTCATGTTTTCATGTATATTGTATTACACATATGTTTAAAATATATTTTGAAAATATTTAGTATTCAATATTTAAATAATTTTCTACTAACTATAGCTTATTATTTATACTGTATTTAAATTGATCACATTTATTTAGATTTTATTCATTTATTTTAATGGTATTTGTATTATTTTTAGATAATTTAGTTGAATTTTATATAATTAAATATTTTTTTTATATTACTATGTTGTTCATTCATTTTTGTTATTTATATAATTCATGTATTTTTATTTTTTCATTATTTTAATTCTATTTTGTTTATTTATTTATTCACATTTTTACACTGTTTTTCTCTATATTTTCCCTAGACTTCCCAGAAAATCATGACATTACCATGGTTTATTTCCAAGACCATGATATTACCATGGTGTCCAAAAAAACCATGCTAAGTATGTTGTGTTATGGGAATGTTATAGTAATTCAAATGTGGGCAGTGTTGGGAAGGTTACTTTGGAAATGTAATAGGTTACAGATTACAAGTTCCCCTATCTAAAATGTAATAAGTAGTGTAACTATTTCAATTACTTTATTAAAGTAATGTAACTGATTACATTTGATTACTTTTCTAAATGTTTTCAACTGTTAATCATTTTCAAACATGTCAATTATGCTATGATACTGTTTTTGAAATCAAATCTATGCATAGCTATGACAGGAAACACTGGCATCTAACAATGGCTTGGAAAAACAGTTGATCTTAAAAAAAGAAATCCTATGCATAAACCCAAACAGGACATAAAACAGTTATCGAAGAGTCCTATTCTGTGTACTAAACTCCTGAAACAAAGATGTCTCATATTTTTGAGCAGTCACGGCAACTTATGAAGGAAAATCTGTATGTGGGTGTGCATGTGTGAAAAAATATTCAGATGTAACCGCCTTTGTAATCGTTAACATTTTCATAAGTAACTGTAATTTAATTACACATTTATTCTAAGTAACTGTAACTGAGTACAATTACGTTTTTGTATTTAAATTATGTAGGCTAATTTAGTTACATGTAACTACTTACTCCCCAACACTGAATGTTACAGTATAATTATACATTTAAGTTGCCTATGAGTGATATTAATTAACTACATGTACTAACTAGGCCTATATGGTGTTAGGATTAGGGTTTGACTAAGGGTTACTTGCATGTAATAATGCATAATTTATTGTTAAGTACTTGTAACGTGTAACAAGGAGGCCTTAAAATAAAGCGTTACCTTATTTTGTAATTAAATTAGGCCTACATAATTTGGTTGCATGTAAAGTTACTCCCCAAAACTGAATGTGGTGAGACAGATCTGCAGATCCACAGTTGCAAAACCACTTCCATAACACTTAAATAACATCACAAAGATCCGTGGATTTTTGGGGATTCGCCGTTTGGGGGCGCGCGGTATTTCTTCTTCTCTCGACTGCAGTAATGTTGTTGTGGCGTGACGTCACAGCCGTGAAACGAAGGCGCAGAGAGCGGGCGGCCATGACTCTAGTCTCCACAATTATTTAATCCCAAATAAATTACCCACGGAAAACTTCCATGGCAAGAGCCACGAGTCAGATCGTGAGTACCGCCAGCGTCTGGGGAGCGCGGGTTCGAAGCCGCCTCGCGCCGCGTCGCTTGTAACGGCGTTTTTTAGGGGGGTGGCGCGACCCGAGGCTTTAGCTTAGCATGTTAGCGTCATTAGCCCGCTAGTCCTCAAAACAAGCGCCAGTCTATTAACCAGGAAGTGTCAACCTTTGTTTCTTCTTGTAATTTATACAGGGATTTCTGAATGAATTATTAGGCTCGATGTTGATATTTTTTAAAAGAACAGTGTGGGGAAAATGCTCACAGTGTTGTGTGTTAGCTCTGCGAGCTAATTCTGTCAACAAATGAAGTTGCTTGTTTTCTTAGCCGTTAGCCTGACCGCTAACTCACGACATAGGCGTTTGCTTCTGCTCGTCTTAAACCTGCTGTAAATGTACGTTACGCAAATCATTGTTGTCTCCAAGTATTAATTAAATGAACGTCCAGGGCTTGTTCTTGAGTCTCTGACAAACTAAAACCCGGTTTTTGAGTCAGTAGCGCTTCTAGCACAAGTCGCCTCAGGTTATTTTACCTCATTTGCGTCTACGTTTGCTGTTAGTTTGTCATTATAATCTATAATTAAGGAATATTAGCAGTATTATATATATGTAGCTGTTTATTAACATGTCTGTGTTATCGTTGGTATATTTAAGTGTGTTATTTCTATTGAAATAAACCGACTCAGAGTTGCGGCCTATAAAGTGGCTTAGAGATTTTTAAGGTTTCACCTTCTCAGGTGCTTTTGACAGTTGATTGTTACCATGTATAACGTTATATAGATTACTATACTCTGAGAAACCGCTTATAAATATGATTAGTGAATTATCAGGCTCATAGGTGGTCATTTTGAGGCACAACATATTAAACTGTGTATGTAGCTGGTATAGATTTATAGAAGTGTAAACATGTAAACATCAATATTGTAAACATGATGTAAACATGCTTTAATCTAGCAAAGTAACTTTGGTCTGTTATTTCTGTAATTATCAATATTGCATGAGCTTCAGTGAGTGCTATGAATTAATATTGTGGTGAGTAGTAATTTCATCAGAGGCAGTAGTTGAGTAATGTGAGAAGTACACTGACTTGGTCTCTGTCTCTCTCTCATCAGTATGATGTTGCATCCCTCCACTCCTCTGTTCTCATCTCCTGTCCATCCATGGTAAGAGGCCAGCAGGACACGCCCCGTCTCCACGGCAACAGCATGGAGGGACAGGCACCGCCCACCCAGCCTCGCAAGAAGAGACCCGAGGATTTCCGCTTCGGCAAAATATTGGGAGAAGGCTCTTTCTCAACCGTATGACACGCACACATCGATGCACATCTGATGTACCTCCACTAGTATTACTCATTTAATGTACTAACCTTTGCTATCTTTGCTACTTACAGGTTGTCTTAGCAAAGGAGCACTCGACGGGGAAGGAATATGCAAGTAAGTCATTATACCATCAGCCTGTGGTTCATACGCATTCGGTTTATCTGTATTACTTTTGACATGAACTACTAGATGTGAGCCTGTACTGAAAAGTGTGTTTCAACAGTTAAGATCCTGGAAAAGCGCCATATAATGAAGGAGAACAAAGCGCAATATGTCAAGAGAGAACGAGACATCATGTCACACCTGGATCATCCGTTCTTCGTCAAGCTCTACTTTACTTTTCAGGATGAAGAGAAGCTGTGTATCCTTCACATAACTAGTGGTTGAGCAATATAGATTTCCAGTGATCATATCTAGAGAGCACAGCAGGGTATCATATTTACATGAAAATTTGCTAAACCATTTAAATACGTATATTTTTATTGTGTAATATATTTTAGGGCTGCATGATAAATTGTATTTTAATCACGATTTCTGATTCTATTGATTTATTAAGCATAATCGTTTGTGATATTTGCCCCCTGGTTATTTATCCTGAAAAAGTTTGTTTAATTTCACATTCTCTTGCATTTTGAACAAGCCTCCACAAGCTTTCATGGTTGCTGTTGCCAGATTTCAAGAGTTTAAGTACCCCAGTTAAGTTTTTTTTTTTTTTTCACTACCTGGCAATCATGTGCATGCACTGTCTCTACATTACAGAAAAAGCCCAGATGAACTGAAAATACTGGCATGTCTTTGGGAAATTAGTGAGACATTGGAGATATTCTGCTCAAATAAAAGTGTAATCCAGCCAATATGTTTTCTTTCACATGGTCATTTGCTGTGAGCAAACCGTGCAATTTGACGTTCTCTTGATTTGTGCTTACGTGAAAGTGCAATAATTCTATGAAATGTTAAAAAAAAAAAAATTTAAATGACGATAATCATGATTAATAACTGTGATTATATGTATTTTATTATGTATTTTATTCTATTTATGCACTTATTTAATTATTTTTTATACTTATTTAAAAAATACATAAAAATATTTCAGATTTATATAAATAAATGTATATACAAGTTTTAATTTATTTTATTTTGCATTTAAATTACATACATATATATATATATATATATAAACATTTTTCATTATATATTACATAATATATGGCATTAATCTCGCAATGTTTACCAATTAATTGGCTTTGCTGATATTGATAGATTACTACACAAGACCTATCTAATGTCAACACTGCATTTAATCGAATGCTTTCCTGAATGCACTGTCAGATTTTGGATTGAGCTATGCTAAAAATGGCGAACTGCTCAAATACATTCGAAAAATAGGCTCGTTTGATGAGACCTGCACGCGTTTCTACTCAGCTGAGATAGTTTGTGCTCTTGAGTACTTGCATCAGAAGGGCATCATCCACAGGTCAGTAGGTTTGTCTTCAAGGTGTCCGTATCAATCATTTTATTTGTTCCATTTTCTTTTTTTTATTGCGTGACGTTGAGTTAATGTGTTATTGTGCTTTTGTTACAGGGATCTGAAGCCAGAGAATATTCTGCTCAGTGAGGAGATGCACATTCAAATAACAGACTTTGGCACAGCCAAACAACTGTCCTCTGACAGCAAACTGGGTAAAACACACATACACTGCATAACAATCGTCCTCTGACAGTGTAAACATTTATACAGAAGTATCCTCTTATGACAGTGCTTTTACTAAGTGATATTGTCATTCTGATGTCTCCCCTGCAGCAAGAGCAAACTCATTTGTTGGTACGGCTCAGTATGTCTCTCCTGAATTACTGACTGAGAAATCTGCCTGCAAGAGGTAAACACGGCTGATGAATATTTAATGGTGTGCAGTTGAAATGCTTTCATCAGTAATGAACCGGGCCTAATTCAGAGATGCTGTTTGTCGCTGTGTTTATTTAGTGGTTTTTCTTCTGAATGCAGGTGACATTTTGTGCAATAACTAAGCAAGACCAAGAAAAGAGGTTTATTTGAGGGTTTGGCTAAAGATACTTATCCTAACTGTCT